GTTCTAGTTGACTTCAACCGCCTTATAATGTGCAGTAGTGAGAATTGTCATTCTGTCATCTCATGTAGGGACAATAGGTGTTTGGGGTTTCTTAACTGTTTTCACAGATGCTGAACTTGCAGGAAAATTTTCCTAGGGCAGGGACTTTTAACTTTCTGATCACTGTCTAGTCCAAATGTATACTTTTTTAAAAACTTCTGAAAAATACAGTATTTACTCACAGTACATGCAGCGTGTTTAATACGTTTACTGGATTACCTTTAAGTATCATTGCGGTGTAATTTACTTCGCCCGCAGGGCTTTGCAATTCAGAAAATCCTCTTTTATTTGTCTACAAGGATGAAGTTGGTGGTGGTAGGGTGTCGGGTTGCATTCAAAATGGCTGCATCCATGTTCGGCTCTTCCTCACCATTTCCTCCCACCACCTGATGTGTGCAAATGCTAACTCATTGCTTTGGAAATCTAGATGTTAGGCAGGTAACGTTGATTTTTAAACTCTGTGTCTTCTGCGTTTCAGTATGTCCAAAATATTAAAATGCGCTGGCAACGAAGACATCATTACCCTACGAGCTGAAGATAATGCAGACACTCTGGCACTAGTATTTGAAGCACCTAGTAAGTTGCACCCTTTTACTGAGTTACAGTATATGGTTATAAAGTTCAGTGTTAGTAGGAGGCTGAGGCAGGATGGCAAGTTCAAGCCCAGCCTGGGCAATATAGAGACTTAATGAGACCCTGTCGAAAAATAATTTTTTTTTTTTTTTTTTTTTGAGACAGGGTCTCTCTATATAGTTCATCCTGGCTTTGAACTCACTTTATAGCCCAGACTGGCCTTGAACTCGTAGCAATCCTCCTGCCTCAGTTTCCTGAGTGCTGGAATTGGTCTACAAATACAATGCAATTCCAATAAAAAATTCCAGTAGAATGTTTTTTTGATTTTTTGAGACAGGGTCTCTCTATATAGTTCATCCTGGCTTTGAACTCACTATGTAGTCCAAGTTGGCAATCCTGCCTCAGCCTTCCAAGTGTTGGGATTATAAGTGTGAGCCACCACGCCTAGCAAAATTCAGTTTAAAAGGCCCTGGGTTCAATCCCCAGAACCCCGTTCCCCCCAAACAAAAACAAGCAGTTTGTTTCATTTCTCAAAGGTGTGAGAAGCTAATGTTTGTCTGTATGCAGTGGTTGTAATATTTACATCATCATTACGAACACATGCCTTTAATAACATTTGCTTTCATTTATAGATCAGGAGAAAGTATCAGACTATGAAATGAAGTTAATGGATTTAGATGTTGAACAGCTTGGAATTCCAGTGAGTATATTTCTTTTCTTTTTTTTTGGTACCGGGGATCAAACTCAGGACCATCTGCTTGCAAGGCAGGTGCTGTGCCACTGAACTAAAATAATCCCTGGCTCAAGTGTATTTCTAATTATAGTGTACCACACACAGTCATGATAATTCTGTAACAGCTCAAACTACCAACACAGGAGTTTTAAGGGCATTTAATCACATGTTATTTGTATTAGCATTTTCCAAAAAATTGGGTACTTTGCCGTTGATTATTCACACACTTGCAGGTATACTTGTAGAAAAAGTTCTGTTAGGAAGTAGGCTTTAACTCATGTTACTAGATCTTACATGGTGCATGCTTCAGAGTCACCAAGTTGCCCAGGCTGGAATGGTGGATTTGTCATTTTTCTAAACCATAATAGTTTAAATTTTTTAAATTTATCGTTACTTGAATTCATTGTGTTGCTGTGTACTTGCATTACTCATCCATGCATTTCTTTTTTTCCTAGAATGCTTGATTTTTGTCAGATTTTAAGCATATCTTAGAAATTTATTAAAGACTGGTTTGTTAACATTAAAAAAAAAGGAAAGGAGAATTATTGGGATGTTTAAAATGGTTAGTGCTTTGTTTTCTTTCAGAAAGCAAATAGATCTGCTTGCACCATCATTTCTGTGTCACACCCACCCTAATGTTCTCTTGACTTACCCGGCAGTGTTGTAAGGAGGCTTTTGTTTTGTTCCCTGGATGGTGGAATGTGTTGACTAATGAATTTTGTTTTGTAGGAACAAGAATACAGTTGTGTGGTAAAGATGCCTTCTGGTGAGTTTGCACGTATATGCCGAGACCTCAGTCACATCGGAGATGCTGTTGTAATATCATGTGCAAAAGATGGAGTGAAATTCTCTGCAAGTGGAGAACTTGGAAATGGAAACATTAAGTTGTCACAAACCAGTAATGTTGACAAAGAGGAAGAAGCTGTAAGCAGTAAAATTAAATTTTTAATTTCTAAAAAAGAATTTTAAAAATTTCTATTTAAGTAAATAGAAACTTCTTTGAAGACGATTGTAGAACTGTTTAATACTAAGATACTTGCTTAAAACCATTTCATTGTAACGGTAAATTGCATTCCATATACTTTGTGAAAATTGAAAGATACTGTTGAAATCTACAAGTGATTTATAGGTGCCATCCAATTTTGGATTATATCTGTCAAAAAAGAATCCAAACTTAGCGCTTGTTTTACAAACCTCAAAAGAATGGGTTTGTATATTAAACCTACACATTCTCTGAGGATAGGATTATCTTCATTTTTAGCTTTTGGGAGCTACTTCCTCTGCTTTTGCCAAATAAGAGCAGAATAACAACTGAAAAGAAGGATAATGGGTAGGAGTAAAACGGTAGCTCTTACAAACTCTTGTGTATAGTCTTTTAGTTGAAGAAAGTCACACAAATTTTTCACAGTCTGGATTTTGCTATTGCATGTGGATGTTAATTAACATCTGCCTTGTATGTCCTGTAAACTGGTAATTACAACTCTAGAGGTTCAATATTCTGTGTGTTTTGTTTGGGGGCTGGGACAGCAAGAGTACTACTTGATGGGCAGTGGTGTGTACCTCTAATAGGCACGAGGAGTGTGGATGTTTTTATCTTAGTAGTCATAATAGTCTTCTAGATCCATTAAATCATTGGGGTTTGCAAAATTGAAATATTTTAGTTTATTTCATTCCTTCATCTAGTAGCTGACTTAATGTATTAGAAGTATTTCCATAAAGAAAAGCTTTCCCATATTGCATATTTTTATTGTCTGTTGATACAGGAAAGACAGGTTAAATGCTACTTTGGCTTTATCAGTCTTTAAAAATTAGTTTCATCCCACCCTCCAAAGTAGCTAGTACATTTTATTTAATGTATATTAACCCAATGGATTGGAACTTTGTTTTCAAATGCAATTCATCTTTTTCTCCTATAGGTTACCATAGAGATGAATGAGCCTGTTCAGCTAACTTTTGCACTAAGGTACCTGAACTTCTTTACAAAAGCCACTCCACTCTCTCCTACAGTAACACTCAGTATGTCTGCAGATGTACCCCTTGGTAAGATATCTATTTGAACCTTGTTTTGTCGGCCACGTATCTGATGCTCCTCAGTAACTAACTTTTCTTGTCTTTCAGTTGTAGAGTATAAAATTGCTGACATGGGACATTTAAAGTACTATTTGGCTCCCAAGATCGAGGATGAAGAAGGATCTTAGGCATTCTTAAAGTAAAACTCAGCTCTTTGAGAAGTGCGTCTGAGATGCCAGCATGTACTGAATGAAGTCTTCTGTCACCAAATTTGTACCTGAGTACATATGTAGATAATGTTTTCTGTAAATAACCTATTTGTTTTCCTGTATTCTCTCCACTTGTTTAAAGAGGTCCAGAGTTAAATCTGGTTGTTAACCTAGAAATATTGCCTTACTTAAATACTCCTGGTGATTTTTATAACAAAAGGGCTTGACTGTTTTTCAATTTAAATAAAGTTATTTGAATTTCAAATGTCACAGCACCTTCATTTGGACCATAACTTTTGCAAAGTACCTTACTAAATTATCAGCAAAAGCTACATTTTCATGTGAAGTTCAGATCTTTTTTTTCTTCTTTTTTTTTTTGGTACTGGGAATCAAACTCTACCTTGTACTTGCAGGACAAGCAGTGGCGCCACTGAGCTAATCCCCAGCCCTGATGTAAAAGTAATTATTTTTTTCAGTTTAGTGTAGTATAAATCCATTATGGAGATAGATATTATTTATAAAAGGCTTGGAAGCTTTAGTAGACCTGTCCTGGGGCCCGAGAAATTTAACTGCAAAAATCTGTAGTATGAGTATCCCTCTTTAGGCCTTCGCCCCCTTAAAGGATGAAGATGATATAAATCCCATGAATGTTGGATCCAACCTAGAAAGTGAAAAGGTTCTGCAATTTATCAGACGGTTGAACTCCCTATATCCAGCAGTCATCGTTCATTACTGCGTGCTAGTGAGCCCCAGGGAAAGAGACAGGATGCAGGGTCGCCTACAGGCTTGTCACGGTTTCAGGACTGCATTTCTCAGAACTTATTTAGTTGTACTTTACAGTATATAAATTGTACCTTCGGGCCGGGGATTTAGCTTAGTGGTTTCACCGCCTGCTGCGCAAGCGCAAGGACCCGAGTTTGATCCCCGTTACCAAAAAAAAAAATTGTACCTTAATAAACTTGACCTTTCAAAAAGCTTCACTTGATGAAAAATGTCCCTTATGGGCAGGTAAATCTGGGCGATGCCTGATAACCTGGAGAGGGACCTCTAAAGAGTCGTCCGAGGCGTCTCCGTGTAAGACTGGGTACTTTGAATAGTGGAATGCGATCTGGCAGTGCTGAGGCCCCAACCTCCACCTCCCTGGAATCTGGCTTGCTCTACTGTGGCCGTGAGGGCACTTGGTAGGAACTATGTAATAGATTTGCCCGGAGTCTGTGAGCCAGGAGGGCGGGGATCCTGGGTACACATGCGCCTGCCCCAGGATAGGCCAGTATCGGCTTCAGATTGCGAGCACACCCGAAACCTCACGGGCTGCGCCAGGACAAGTCCCAAAGCCTCAGATTGCTAGACCCGCTGGAAGGCTAGCCCGAGACATGTCCCGCTGCGCGGTGAGGTGATGTCGCTCCCAGTGATGCAACTTCCGGCGCGCCTTCGCCCAACTCGCCACTTCCGGCGCGCTCGCGGCTCCTGCGGAGCGGGGTGGCAGTTAGACGGGTGGTACCATGTGGTCTCCGTCCGCTCCGCAGTTCGCCGCGGCTGAGCTCCCTACAAACGGGCTGCGCGGGGCGGCGGACCCTTGAGCCGTGAGTGGCGGGCGGGGCAAACGCGCCCTCCTTCTGAAGCCTGCGTTCCCGGGACGACCCCGCGCTCTCCAGGTCCAGCCAGTGCGCACTTGGCCTCGCCAGAACCGGTTTTGTTCGTTTTACTCCTGAATTCGCATCAGTTCTTTTTTCTCTCTGTGGCGACGTCTGGAGATTACCAGGAAAATAGCGTATGTAGAGGCGCGTTATGCGAGGCGCAGTGCCGGTCACTTACTGATCTTTTATAATTCTAACACTCAGGTGCTGAGAGAATTTGGCGTTGCATGGGGCTGTTGAAAAGCCCGTTGGAAATTTGCTTTTTTTTTTTTTGGCAGTACCGAGGTTTGAACTCGGGATCTTGCGCTTGCGAGGCAGGCGCCGGAACCAGTGAGCTAAACCAGCCCCCGTTGGGAATTTGGACAGATTCTTTCAAGATACTCTTGCATGACCTTCCTTTTCCGTTTTAGAATTCTTTCTCTTTGCCAAGTATAAGCATAGGACTTGCTATTCCCTTGCGAAATTTGGACAGATTCTTTCAAGACACTCTTGCATGACCTTCTTTTTCCGTTTTAGAATTCTTTCTCTTTGCCAAGTATAAGCATGCAACTTCCTACTCCCTTGCGCCCTTGTTTTGGCAGGAGTGTGTGAATTAATGGAAAGTACGTACATGATTTTTTTTGGAAAACGCTAGTACAAATCAGGTGTGATTAAATGCCCTCAAAACTTCCATGTATTGGTAGTTTGAACTTTATTACAGAATTGAACTTAATCGTGTCATTGCCTCACAACCCTAAACTCTGAGTATTTAACACAGCTGAGCAAACCTTTATAGCATTATTTTTTTCAGTGTATGATAGCTGGACCAGTACGAGCAATAAAAAGGAACAGAAACATTTTAACACCAATTCTTTCACGAAGCTACTTGAGATCAGTTGTAGGATTTGTTATTTTTTGTTATTAAATATTTATAAAGCACTAGAACAGTGCCTGGCACTTAACCAAGACTGTTTTGTCCACATAACTTTATAACTTTATGGAAGATACGTGTACAAATTTCGAATTTTTGAAATGTAAGTCTCGTTTTAAAACCCTACATACTGTCAAACTGGACAAAATAGCCATATTTCATTGCTGTTGCTTTGAATATTCTGAACAATGAACCAGTCTTTTGGGAAACATTGGGGATCAGACCCAGGGCTTTGAGTTAAAAGCTAAGCAAGCACTGTACCACTGTACTACACCTGGAGCCCAATAAATCAGGTTTTTATTCAACTTTTTTAGGTAGCTGCAAAATCTGAAAAATGGAACTCACTGTTTTCACTGCTTAGAGTGAGCCAGGGAGGTAGACATATCTGAGCATGTGTGCTTAACCACTGAGCTACCCTGCAGCCCCAGCACCTGGAGGTAGACATATCTTTTTTTTTTTTTTGGTACCAGGGATCGAACTCCAGTCCTTCCTCTTTGGAAGCAGGCGGTGGAACCACTGAGCTAAATCCCTGGCCCTGGAGGTAGACATATCTGAAGGCACTGGTGTAATACGGATAGCCAGTAGCTGATCCACATTTAGAAGCTTTACAAATCCTTTCTGTTAAAAGGAAGATATCCATCAAGGGAAAAGAAGCAAAATGCCTCTGTGAATGTATTCTGTTCCCTACCCTTTCTTCCCTCCCTGGCAAACAAGAAAATCTCTTGAATATATGTTCCTAAGCTGGGGCAGGGGACAGGCCATACTATATCAGAGTGGCCAAGAATGTGGACTTCGGTGTCAGGTGCACCTAGGTTTAAGTCCCCACTCTTCCACCTACTTTATGTGTGACTTTGGAAAAATTAGTAGGCGGAACATTGATGGCAGGGTAAACTGTGGTCTGGTTCTTGGTGAATGTCCTGGCTGTCATCCTAAACTAGACAGACCAGAGTAGGTACATAGGTCATTGTTTAACTGTCAGGAATATCGGGATTTTGGGGAGGTGGGAGGTAGCAGGGGTTGAACTCGACCTTACACTTTCTAGTCAGGGGTGGTGCCACTGAGCTAAATTCCCTTGCCCAGGAATATCAAGCTTTAAGAGCAGTGAGATCTAAATTGCATGGTGCTCTAGAACTCCAGTACATGGTATCTGATGTCATGGGCTGTACTGTATTACTCTTGGCTACAACAGTAACAACTTTTTGATTTAGACTGTGGCTGTGTCAACGTGTTATGATGCCATCTCGTACCAACCTGGCTACTGGAATCCCCAGTAGTAAAGTAAAATACTCAAGGCTCTCCAGCACAGACGATGGCTACATTGACCTTCAGGTAAGAAGGGAACTGACAGGGCTGACTGGCTGTGTTTCTATTGAGCTAGGAAGAAGAGCTTCTAGGTGGAGGTTTTGCTAATGGGCCCTTGGAATTAGAGGGAGCAGCAGGAAGTAAACTCATCTCTGAGACTCTTTGGCCCCAACTTGCAGAAGGCCCAAAGAACTATGGCACAGCAGTTTCAAACCAGGTCCAGTTTATAAACATTTTTAGTTGTAATGCCAGAGCCCTGTAGTTTCAAGTTTTCAGTTTATCCATGAAATAAACAGACTTTGTTTTAAGTGAAATTATTTTAAGGACTACATTTATTTACACTTTAGCCAAAGTCAGTTCATCTTTTAAGGGAGAAACTAACTGCTAAAGCCAGCAGACTGTGGGAATCTTCCTTCTTTCCTGATGTCATGAGATCCAATTTATTAAAGGTATTCTTTGTGACAAACAGTAAATAATAAAGAATGTTGGCTGGGGATTTAGCTCAGCAGCACAACGCCTGCCTGGCAAGCTTGAGGTCCTGAGTTCTATCCCCAGTACCAAAAAAAAAGAATATTAAGTTTGTATCCTATCTTGGCTATTATCTATAAAGTACTGTAGTACTATAGCATTTCCTTTTACCCATCCCCCCTTGGAAACGAATATTCTGGCTAAAACTTGATCCAGCAATGAAGTAGAAGAAACTTATCCTTTTAAATATAAATAAATCAATTCTTTGTACTCTTTGGACCTGTATTTGAAGGAGAGATAAAAATAGACCTGGGAAGTTTCCATCTAGTTAGGTCAGACTCAACCATGAGCCTAATCTTAGAAAATTTGTCTCTTAACCTTGAATTGAACTTGTTCATAAGACAGTGCTTTAGAAAAAACTGCAATTACTCCCCTGCCCCCAGTACTAGGAATTGAACTCAGGACCTTCCATTTGCCAGACAGGTGCAGCACCGCTGAGCTACATCCCGGCCCCTGCAATTTTATTTTTAACACCCTTGACTGTGCTAACTTTGAATCCTAGAAATGACTTCACTTCTTTACTTTTCCATAGCATGGTGTTCACTCTTAAGTCTCCATAGGTCAGTATACCCTTCCATGTGCCAGACACTTAATAAATACATGTAATGAACTGTAATGAATAAGTGACCATAAAGTAGTTTTGTTTAAAAAAAAAAAAGTGTTGTAAAGTCCAAGGAGTGGTCTGTACAATGCTAAACTTGGATAGAATGACACCCCTCGAGGACTCTTTGGAGTGATGCTAGAGCATAGCTAGAGCTTCATCTATTGTCTGTCCCTTCCTTTCTCTCCTGGAGCTGCACTGGGTGATAAGACATACATACTTTCAAACACTTGAAGCATCCAGCTTGGTTCTTTTTGCCAGTATCTTATTAAGGATTTTTGCATCTATGTTCATTAGTGAGATTGGCCTGTAGTTCTCTTTTTCAGTTGAGTCTTTCTCTGCTTTGGGGATCAAGGTGATGTTTGCTTCCAGGAATGAATTTGGGAGTATTGCTTCCCTTTCAATTTCATTGAAGAGTTTAAACAGCAGTGGCAGCAGTTCCTCTCTAAATGTCTTGTAGAATTCAGCAGTGAAGCCATCAGGACCCAGGCTTTTCTTAGTTGATAAGTTTTTAATTACATTTTCAGTTTCATTGGTTGATACTGGGTTGTTTAGAATTTTTGGGTCTTCTTCGTTCAACTTTGGTAATTCATATGTATCTAGGAATCTGTCCATTTCTTCTGTGTTTTCCATCTTATTGGCGTATAGGTTCTGGAAGCAGGTATTGATCCTTTGGATTTCTGCTGGGTCCGTTGTAATTTCACCCTTTTCATTCTTAATTGCATGGATTTGGGCCTTTTCTTTCCTTTTTCTGATAAGGTTGGCTAAGGGTCTCAGCTTGGTTCTTAATTATCCTCCCTGCTTTAAGGTGTCAGCCCTGCCATCTTCATAATGTTCTTCTATCTTTTTTTGTTTTTGTTTCTCTTCCAGTTTAAGAAAAGCCCTCCTAAGATCCCCTACAAGGCCATCGCACTTGCCACTGTGCTGTTTTTGATTGGTGCCTTTCTTATTATCATAGGCTCCCTCCTGTTGTCTGGCTACATCAGCAAAGGGGTAAGCTGATGGCAGTATGCCATAAAAGCTTTAAAATGTGAGCTAGAGCTTATTATTTTTATATTACGTGTAGTACAACAGATTCCAGCAGAAAGAAGAAAAAATATTTCTTTTATATTTTGTTCACTGATAAAACATCCTTTTATAGCTGGGCATTGTGGCCCATACCCGTAATCTTAGCAGATTGGGAGGCTGAGACAGGAGTCTCACAAAGTTGAGCCCAGCCTAAGCAACTTAGCAAGACCCTGCCTGAAAAAATTAAGGCAGGCTTGATGGTGCATGCCTGTAATCCCAGCACTGATCACAAGATGATGAGACAGGAGGATCACCACAAGTTTGAGGCCAGCCTGAACTACATGGCAAGACTGTGTCTCAAAAAACAAACAAAACTAGGGCCAGAGGTTTAGCTCAGTGGTGCCATCACCTGCCTGGCAAGTGCAAAGTCCTGAGTTTGATCCCTGGTTCCGCAAAAACAAAACAAAACAAAAAAACCCTTAAAAAAAAAAAGATTTGTGTATAGGTTAGTGCAGAGACCCTGAGTTCACACCCCAGTTTTGCAAAAACAACACAAAAAACAATAAATTTCTCCCATCATTCCTCTGAGGTGGGTGTTATCAGGTAGGCAAACTTGACCCCTGAGGTATTGAGCAGTTTGGCCACAGCCACAGTTTGAAATACCATAGCTGAGCCCCGGGATCCCTGATCTATAAGAGATTATAGCCTGAGTAGCATACTCTTGTTACAGCTGTGTAGCAGCACAGATACACTGGTCAGGGTTTGAGGAGAAGCAGGAGGCTTGTGTAGACCGCTATTTGGTTGCAGCACCTGTTGAAGGACAATATAATGCCTTAGAACCTAAGGTGGTGTTTGGTGGTTCTTTCTCTCGGGCTATCCCCATATGTACGTGGTGTCTAAGTTGTCCTGAACTTACTCTGATACAAACCAAGGAAAACAGAAGTTTATTGTGGCATTCTGTATGGTTGCAGAAAGAGAAAGACAGCTGTATGAATTGTACATCGATTTCAGTAGAATGTTACCATACAGTTCAAACATGAGTTTTTAATACTGGCAAGTGCCCGTTATAAAAAAGACTTCCAGGGGGCCGGGGATTTAGCTCAGTGGTTTGGCCGCCTGCTGTGCAAGCGCGCAAGGACCTGAGTTCAGTCCCAGGTACCAAAAAAAAAAAACACAAAACAAAACAAAAAAGAAAAGACTTACAGGATACAGTGTGGTGTTTTCACAAGTAAGAATTTTGAAAAAAGAGCAGAAGGAAATGAGCCCATCTCACCTGAATAAAGAATGGATAATTTTCTTCATAGTTTTTAGTGCTTTGCAGTTTTCTGTCAGTTTGTAATCAGAAAGGAAAGAGATGTAAACATTTCCCTTGGTATTGTACTACCCAAGGAAGATATTTAGAAAAGTATAAAATAGTGATCTATAGATTAGGTCTGTGGCATTTTTTAAAGTGTGTAACTTTCATGGTACTACTGTAATGTTTTCTTTCTTCTGCCACCAGGGGGCAGACCGGGCCGTTCCAGTCCTGATCATTGGCATTCTGGTGTTCCTGCCAGGATTTTATCACCTGCGCATTGCCTACTACGCATCCAAAGGCTACCGGGGTTATTCCTATGATGACATTCCAGACTTTGATGACTAGCACCTCAGCCCAAGAAGAGTCACAGCGGAACTACACCCAGCTTTACAATACTGAGCAGAAACCATGGCTAATGACTGAGGAATTTTGTAGTTTGTAGATGTTTAACAAATCAGTGGCCAGATTTTATGGGTCCATCCCAAAAATGTTCACTGAGCTTACAATTAGCTAATTAGGACACTCTGTTTTCATTTTCCTGGCCCTGGCAAAAGCTCAACAAGTTTTTCCACATGTGTAGGTACCATGAAAGAATCCATTGTTAATTATCTTGAAAAGCAGGAAGTTATTCTGTAGTGGAAAGTGATATTACTACTACCCTCTTTAAAGTTGAGGGTTTCTCTGAAATAGTCCTCATTATCAGTTTGTCTTATAGAAAATGGAAGTATGCAATATATTTAATTACCTTATTAAGTCATTTATTTTTAATCTAAGTACCTTACCCCCCATACATATCTCTGCACCTTCATGTTCTGTGGGAGACCTGGGTAAAATCAGATATCAGCGTGGGTCCATCTGTAATATTTTTTACTAGTTTTGTTATTGATAGCAACCAGGAATTTTTTACACTGTAGAGTGAATTTTCAAAATACAAACATTTTCTCTTGAGTCTTTGGCCAGCTCTAATCTAGTTTCTCAATAGTGTTGCCAGCAAATTATTTGAGTCATTTTATCCTTTGTAGATCAAGATGTTCTGTATGTCATGCCTTGAAGGACTGGACATCTGACTGTTTCCTAATGAAAAATGTGGAGAAGTTATTCAGGGTTTATAACCTTATTGCTAACACCTGGGACTGCAGTATCCTTCTGATAAAGATCACAATATTTGGCCTTGCTCTCTGGAGGACTAGATTGCCTTAGGTTGATTCTGTTTCCTTGCTTGCAAAAAGGGACACATACTTAAAAAAATTAAAAGGTCAGAATCCAAATCCTAGACTTAAAAATGAGTTCACTTTAAGCATATTTCAGAAAACATTGTAAGGATTTTATGATATGTTTGATCCCACTGCCCAGGATTCCCTTTGTTTTTAGGTAACTGCAATTATAAGTTACACTCTACTTTTCAAACTTTTTTTTTTTGAGACAAAATCTCGTTCTGTAGTTTAGGCTGGTGTTGAACTCACTGTGTAGCCCAGGTTGCCCTCAGATTTGGATCAATCCTTCTGCCTCAGTCTCTTGAGTGCTGAGACTATAGGTATGTGCCTTGCGTACCAGTCAAACTTACCTGAGGTTATAGGCTTGGGCAAGTAGACACCTGGCTGGACTGTTGGGATTTGGAGGGCTTTGAATAGGGCAGGTTTGGGGGTGAAATGAGTTCACTTTTGGATGTGCTAAATTGTAGATGTCTACTTGGTGTCCAAGGGAAGCTGTGGAGGAAGGAGTTGTGTAGTGTGCTGCAGTTCAGGAGGCTGGAGCCAGGACGTAGAAATGTGGCTATGTTTAGACAGCCTCCTCAGAGCCATGGCACCAGATAGGATCATTAGTGGAGTTAGGTGAATGGAGAAGAGGACTTGGAACAAGGGACAGGAAGTGCCCTAAAGCAGCTTCCAAGTTTGATGCATTTGGTAATGGGAGGGAAGCCTGGGAACCCCAGTTCTCTAAAGTTCTTGGGCTCTAACAGTGAATAATATAATATAGAAGACTGAACCTGGGCTAGCGGCACATGCTTGCGATCCTACCACTTGAGAGGCCAGGGTGGGAAGATCATGAGTTGGAGGCCAGCCTGGGCAACTTAGAGTGAGACCCTGTCTCCCCCCCCGCTGCAAAAAAAGAAAAAAAAAGAAAAAGCTGTGCTATTCTTGCAAAGCACATCTTAGACAAAATAGTTTCAGCCAAATCAAATTATTTGGTCCTTTTTATAAAGATAATGCTGTTGGTAAGGGAAAAACTAAAAAAAAATCAGAAGAGCATATGAAGTATAAAACTTGGTGAAGGGGCCATTTGTTCCCCCAGGTCACTTTCCAGGGTTGGCCAGTAAAGTTCTTCATGTAACTTTCCAGAAATGTAAGTGTGTAAACACATATAACCATTTTTTGTTTGTTTTGAGACAAGGTCTTGCTATGTAGCCCATGCATGTACCACCACACCCAGCAATATATACCCATTTTGTAAAAAATCTTAGGCCCCCGTTGTGATGCTTTATAATTTCTTTTTTTCCCATTCTATTTTATATAGCTTTACACATTCAGGGACGTTAGACGCCACATTTTAAAATTACAGTGCTGGGGACTGTTGACTTCTGGAGGCCTGAGTCTTATCAGATTGGCAATAAAATTAATTTGTCAGCATGCAGAGATTAGGACTCTGGAATCTTTTTTTTTTTTTTTGGTACCAGGGATCAAAAGGACTTTGCAATCTTGCACAACAAAAGAGGCAGGCACAGAGTCTTAAGTCACATCTGCTATTGTCAGATTAGACCTACATTTACAAAGGTCACAGGAGAGTACTTTGGGAGCTACATATATCTTTATTAAAACAACTTAAACATTAACCAAAAAAAGGTGACCACAGAACTTTGAAAGCAGCCCCATCTTAATACAATTAGTTCCTCCACATATCTGAACTTTATCAGTGATAACTTTAGCTTTGGTTTTTATCTCCAGACTGATTTAAAATCGCATATTCACCTTGAATCATACCTTTAAACTTTCCCTACCTTTAAACTTACCTTTTCCACAAGCTCGGCACCTGCTACACAGATAGCCCTTTACTAGGCATCAAAAAATTGTTTACTGGGCCGGGGATTTAGCCCAGTGGTTCCGTCGTCTGCCTCACAAGCGCAAGGACCCGAGTTCGAGCTCCGGTACCAAAAAAAAAAAAAAAATAATCGTTTACTTTGTCTATCCACCAGAAGTTTCTAGCTTCCTTAAGAAGAAAGTGTAGTCCATACTTGACCTGGCTTAACAAATAAAATCAATAATATCAAATGAGTTTAAAGATTGTTGCTGTAGTAAGTGAATTTGAGAGGAAGCAAGGACCAACAGGGTCTGAAATGATCTTACTGAGACAGGGCTTGGGCTAGACCATGGCAGGCGGGGAAGGGGACCTGACGGGCTGGGCTGATAATGGTACTGTGGTTTGGAGTCTGAATTCTGGGTGTGGGCAGAGCTGGGGCCTGAGGTTAACTAAGGGGCACAGGATTTGAGTTACGAGCTGCAAGAAATGAACAGTTTTCTTTTTAAATTTTATTTTACTTCTCTCAAAATATTACCACTGCACATATTTTTCTTTTTTAAATCCTATAAGGCTCATCCTGAGAATTAGTCATCCACACCCTTTCCTCCCTCCCTGTCCTAGAAACACCCAGCTGTTCTTGATAAATCTGAGTATTTGATCTCCACAGGATATATTTATATTACCACTTGAGGATTTTTCAGAGTTGGCCTTTCAGTTGATTTTATTTATTCATTTAGCTCTGCTCCCTGATTGTCTTCTGACAGGGACACATACCTTAGTCCCTCTGTTTTGTCCATGTAACTTGTCTCGGGTCCGTGTCGATGCACACATTGCTAAGAATCTACACATCTGGGCCGGGGATTTAGCTCAGTGGTTCTGGCGCCCACCTCGCAAGTGCAAGGTCCTGAGTTTGATCCCCGGTACCAAAGAAAAAAAAAAAAGAATCAACACATCTTATTCACAGCTAAGCCAGGGACATTAGGACTTAACTTTTCTCGCACGACCTTTAGTTTTTCCCAGAGTTAACAATCTGTTTGTTTGCATCATTTACTACACATCCATTCCTAGTTAAGCCCAAACTGACTCGCTGTTGTGTGAGTCTCTGTGTGCTCTACCTGTCTCATCCTGAAGAACTTTCCTCCGGGAGCTGCCCCTCTACCTGCAGGATGTGACCACAGCGCCTTTGGGCTTCCTGTGCGGCATCTCTGCCACTTGGAGTCAGTCTGGAAACTCATGTCCTTTGTTATAAGAATATTCTAAAATAGATTTATTCAGTCAGTCACTTCTTACACTCACAGGTCTCTCCTATTTCTGAAATTGTCTTAATTGTTGGCTCTTTTCTCCTTTTTTCAATATTTTGCTGTTTATGGAAGATTTGTTTTTCCTTTAACTTTTGTGTTGTACTTCTTTTTTTTCTTTTTCTCTTTTTTTGGTACCGGGGATTGAACTTGGGACCTTGCGCTTGCGAGGCAAGCGGCAGCACCACTGAGCTAAATCCCAGGCCTGTATGTCATCTTTTTCTAATGTCCAACGACTGTCTTTTATGTCTCATAGCAGTCAAGTTTTATTTCTTGGCTGTGACATCTTTTATTATCTCACTATTTTCTCTTATCAGCAAAGTCTTCACTTAGCACAGCAGTCAGACTTACGTATCTCAAAATTGAGATGTGTCACGTTACTCTTCTCTCAAGAGTCCCACCGCCATCCCCCACACTTGACTCAAAGTTCAAGCCTTCATCCCTCCGTGGCCCACAGGACCTGCCATGGCTTCTCCATCGTCACCTCTCCCATGTCCTACGAGTTCCTCTGGCCACACCAGCCTACTCTTGGTCCCTGACCTCCTAGCTGAGGTCCCAAGAATCTTCCACTCCTTCACAATTTTGCTCAAATCCTGTCTTCCTAATAAGGCCTGCCCTGCCTGCTGTTCACACTGCACCCTGCCCACATCTGTCTCCTGTTCCCAGCATCAGCTCTGTCTCCCTCTGCTGACTTCTGTACCAACTGGTACTTGGGAGCACACTGCTTAACTTATTTCCACGTCTATCTCCCACTCCAGTCAGAATATGAGCTTGCAAGGCCAAATGCCTGCCTATCTCTCTCCTTCCCTTCCCTCCTTTCATCTTTACTGGAGTATAATTGATAAATAGAAATCATATGCTTATTTTTTACTTTTAAAATGTTTTTGTATTTTTAACTTTTGTATATATTTAAATTTTACAACTTTTGATATGATTTCTTATCTGGATTTTTGTTTACATCACTGATATTCCAAGCAGTTAACCATGCTTGGGACATAGGGCACCTAATAGTAACCTTTGAGGGCTGGGAATTTAGCTCAGTGGTTTCGCTGCCTGCTGCGGAAGCACAAGGACACGAGTTTGATCCCCGGTACCAAAAAAAAAAAAAAAGTAACCTTTGAGAAAGGATGAATGAATGATCCTTTCCGGGAATATTTGGGGTTTGGGGAGGTGGGTGAGTATTGGGAATGGAACCCAGGATCTTACACTAGTTGGGCAAGTAAGTCCTCCACCACTGAGCTACACTGCCAGCCCCTAATTTTTTTTTTTTTTGGTACCAGGGATCGAACTTGGGACCTTGCGCTTTTGAGGCAGGCAGAGGAACCACTGAGCTAAATCCCTGGCCCACAGCCCCTAATTTTTAATGTTCCTATCTACCTTCATGTCTTTTCTTTGTTGCACTTTGTTTCTCTGCTTTGCTTCAGTCTCTTTTAGGTGATCCTTGGCTGTGAGATCGTGGTAAACATTGAGAATAGCCAGGCACAGTGGCATACATCTGTAATCCCAGCGCTCAGAAGGCTGAAACAGGAGAATCACTATGAGTTCAAGGCCAGCCTGGGCTACATGGCAAGACCTTGTCTCAGAAACAAAAAAAAAAAACCAGTGAGAGTTCCAAACTTAGTAGAGTGGGCTGAGTTGTAGCTCAGTGATAAATTGGTGAGTGTACACAAGGCCCTGGGCTCCAGCTCAGGTTGGAGGTGTGGGGTGTTGGTTGTACATGAGGGACAGATGGAAATCTGTGCTGTGAAAGGGACTCGTGGACCATGAGACTCTGTATTCACTGGGGAGCCCACAGCCAGTAACTCCAGAGCCCTGACGGCGACCTGTTTAGAGACAAGTGCCAGACTGCAACCTGAAAACCGCTTACTTAGCACAAAGTGCCAGCACTGCAATTAAACCTGAATACTGAGGTTTTAGTTTACAAAAAACAATTTTACATTAACATCTTTTGTCTTAAAGGAAAAACACAATAACATGCCATAGGTTCGCCGTACTGCTCTAGGTCTTTCTCTGGGGCTGGCCTTTCCCAGACAGCACTGGCCATCAACATCTGGGACTCTCAGTGTTCAATATGTTCCTCTCCCTTCCTCCCTGCTCTCACCATGACACTCCCACCTCAGCGGTGAGCGGTGTCTCCCATCCTCACAGTTGGAAACCCATGGTTCTCAAAATCCTATCCAAAGTATCTGCCAGTGTATGGGAAGGTGCTTTGCCATGCTCAGATTTGGGGAGAAATGGGACTTAACTGATTTACTTTATTCAATTATAGCAAATATACAGAAAAGTGCACAGATCAAAACCTTCAATTTAAAAGTCAATAAACATATATGTCTCATTTTTTCCCTTTTTGGTGCTGGGGGTTGAACCCAGGGCTTCACATATGCTAAGCACATTCTCTACTGCTGAGCTATACACCCCCAAACCTTATTCTTTCTTTTGCTTTTTAAATTTTTTTTTCAGTAATTCAATAATTTATTCCTCTGAAAAAGTGTGTAAAAGTATATAGCTCTCATCCACAAGGTATATATGAATGACATTTAAAATGGAGGCCTTTTATTATTGTTTCTTTTTATCAAAGTCTTTTAGTGTACTGTACCAGCGCTATACTGTAGTTTTTTTTAAATGAACTTCACATATTTTTGTATTCTTTCAAATTGTTTGCTATATATAAAAGACTGCTTTTTAAATTTAAATTTCTTTATTTTTGAGAAAGGGTCTTGCTATGTTGCCTAGGCTGGCCTTGAACTCCTGGGCCCAAGAGATCCTCCTGCCTCAGCTGGAACTATAGGCACACACCACTGCCCATGGCTCCTAAATTTATTTTTCTAAATGCCACATAAAAACATTAAAATGGCACATATTATGGGGTGATGTGTGCTGTTTCATACATGTTCCCACTGTGAAATACTCTGATCAGGTTAAACACTTGTCTTCTCAAACATTTATCTTTGCTTTATGGTGAAACCATTCAAAATCCTTTCTCTTAGCTTTTTGAACTATACATTACGTTTTCATCTGAAGTCAGCATAAAGTCTAATTCTTAGACTTTTAGCCAGTCCTCTCATGTGTGCTTCACCTCTATCCCCCACTCTTGCAAGTACATGGCATCACCATTCTCTGGGTTTGGCGGAGCTTTTTCCCTGGCATTGGGATCCAGCATTTAGTAGTCAGGTCTGAGAGGAGACTCTGTCCAGTTGGCTTGACATGGCAGGTGAATGGTGCTCATGGCTGCCCCCGTCCTGGGTTAGAGGGTCCCAGCTGCCAGTGCAGTAAAGCAGTGCCCTATTTGTCATCTTTTCTTTCCGTGTAGTGATTGAAAGGAAAAATGAGTTATGATCCAGGTGTCTGAGTCCTGACCCTGTCCCTGCTTCTGACCCAGTTCTTGTGTTCTTGCCATTTTCTTCTCCCTCCTTCCTGTTCTTTGCCTGGACCCCAGCGTTATCTCTTTGCTGGTACCCATGTTCTCTGCTCTCCCAAGTCCTACTACCCACCCTCGAGTGTGATGTCATTAACAGTGTCATTCCACTTGCTGCTGGGACCTCTTGTCACCAGTGCAGGTGTCACACCTGCCATTATTAGACCTGGTTCCTTGGCCTTTGCCCACACTTCTGCAGACCCAGCCAAGTTAGACTTTAGTCTAAAAAACTGCTTCACTTTTTCAACCTCTGCCTCCCATGGAAATGCTACCTCCCCTCCCCTACTCCCAGGACCCAAGATGAACTACATCCTCAGCCCTTTTTATTTTTTGCTTTGAAGCAAGATCTCACTAAATTGCTAAATTGCCCATGCCGAGCTCAAACTGCAGTCCTCCTACCTCAGTCTCCCAGAGTTGCTGGGATTACAAGTGTGAGCCATCAAACCCAGCTCATTATTCTTATTTTTCTTCTGTAAGAGAAATTGTATTAGAAGTAATAGTGATTGAAGATTTTTTTAAAAAGGGAATATCCTTAGTCCTT